AGGATCGAACAGTAAAGAATCAAAACAGGATGCGATTCTAATAAAAATGCAAGAACAATGAAGTTTGAGTCATTTTGAAACAATTGATGGACATCTTGCAAATTACGTATTTACTATGTGATTGTTAGATTTCATTAACAAAACCTATAATTTTGTGTCAAATACATTTAATTGTCCTCAGCCGTGTTCTGTTCACTACAATATGATTATGGATGCGTACTGCAGAAAAGTCTCATATTTTGGTGAAGTAGATGTACGGTAAATATAGGTTTCAATCTACTGTGCGAGAGAACAAACCAGAACCCAGAGGAAGAAAAGATAAAAAGAAGAACTGGAAGTAGATAGGACACACATTAAGGAAAGCAACAAGCTGTGTCACAACGCAAGCCCTCACATTGAATCCTTAAGGCCAAAGGAGAAGAGGAAGACCAAAGAACAGCACGTCGAGAAATGGAGACAGACATGGTAAGGGTAAACAAGGATTGGATAGAACTAGAAAGGAAGGCCCAGTACAGTGTGGGTTGGAGAATGCTGGTTGATGGCATATGCTCCCGATAGGGCGTAAGCAAGTAACAAGGAGATTTAAATAAGTTTTATTAATGTTCAGGAGCTATTCATTGAAAAGTATTCTAATGTATCTCATGACATTGTAAGATAGGAGAATTTATCCTATATTGAAAAGAAAATTTATATCGATATTTTAGCCAATTAGTTGCGTGGATGCGCACTGCTAAGAAGTCTCACAATAAGAAGAATTGGCTGTCGAGTGCTTCCAAGCTTTTAATGGTAGTCTAAAATCAATCGCATCATGATCTCGATCAAAAACCTAAAAAACCTCCACAACCTAATACTGATAAAATGCGTTTGTTATGCAAACAATTCACAGAATTTTCTGCATTTTGACAACATAATCTGAGTTACTATTTAAAAGTAGAAAGAACTTGACAACTGCTTTATTTCTTAAAAGTGTGCATCTATGACTTTGAATCAACTCGTACTCATAAAATCTTGATCTCATTACTGACACAATAAAATAAGTCCGTTGAGTTGGAATCCTTTTTTTTTCAATTTTTATTAATTCAATAAGAAAAAGAGAATTCAGTGAAGAAAGTTTTCTTTTCGATGAAATCATTTACTTAAGCTGTACATTCGTACATATAGTTATATGGGAAATGTATGTCTATAGAAGGATAGGGAGGATTGTATCACTAAGAAATGGATTCGAGAATAAATAAGAAATGAGGTTAACGTACTAATCAAGGGGTAAGGAGGAACAAAATTTATGGGTCAGATAATAGTCCAATTGACAACAAAGGTCATAATAATAAACTGAATGATAATCAAGAAAACTTGTAAAAGGTAATAATAATAAATGATTCGAGTTCAAAGTGCAAAATAGTAATTTAAAAATATGGATAATAATAAAAGTGCAGAAAAAAACAAAAAAACACCTAGAAACATACCCATTAAGGGAATTAGGGCCAGGAAAAGATGAGAGGTTGGACAAATCGTTTCTGCACGCAAAATTCAGGCTTTAGTTTGTGGATTAGCAATGCCTCCGCGGTGCATAAAATATTGATTCGAACCCTTTTCGATCCAGTAACTTTGACTCTGTACACTATCTTAAACGAAGTGTCTTTTGGAGCGACATGTCCACAGTTGATTAAGTGCTCCTGTATCAAACTAGTGATTGTTTTTCGTTCCCCTTTCAAGAGCCAGGCCGGATAATGTTCCGAGATGCGTTTGGATAATGATCGCTTTGTGCGGCCTATGTAACATGCCCCACATGAGCAAGTAAATTTATAGATACACATTGAAGTGGCCCAAAGCAAAAGTTTGTCCTTAACACAACCCAGAATGGTAGGTCGGCTATAGATGATTCGAAGCTTAGCTGCGTGGAATGTTTTATTCAATGATTTCGAAAACCGTATATTTAGGATTTCAGCAGCCGTATCTCCCTTAAATTCCATATCATAAATAGAGTTTTTTTCTCTACTGTCAATGATTTGTCATGAAGTATAGGTGCCAAGTTTCTATCGATGAATCTCGGTGGATAACCATTTTTGATGAGAGTCTGTCGAAGATAAAATAGTTCCCCATCTATTGTGTTATTAGAACAAATTCACTAATCCTTGAGGATAAAGAATGAATTAAGTTCCTTTTTCTACTTAATGGAACCCAACTGTAGAAGTTCGTGTATTGTCCATTCCAAGTGGGTTTTCTATATGTCGACCTCTGTAATAAACCGTCAGGCATTCTTTTTATATGGATATCAAGAAAATGAAATTCGTGGTTTGTCTCTGCTTCTAAGGTATATTGGATTGATGGGTGGCATGACAAAGCATTGACTGTAGAGACAAAAAACTCTATTTATGAATATGGAAGATATGCAAATGAATTGTATAATGTATGGTCTTCATAACTTACGAAAAAAAATTAAAAAAATATAAATTGGTTATCGCCACCAAGTCTTCGTTCGTTAAAGTATTTGATGAATCAATATTATTTATTTTGAGGCTACTACTCAAATAGTAAAATATTTATTCAAATACACATAACTGTTTAATGAAAAAAACTGAGAAGCTTGAAAAGATATGTAGATAAGGTGAATGATTTTGATAGAGTTTTATTTTCTGAACTGAATGGTTTCCTCGTAGAGCTTTCATTATTCTTCTGAACGACATCATCAACCAAAACTTCATATAGAATGATTTTTGTATAAATACGCTTGATTTGTGTGCCTGATTGACCTGGTTTCTACTGGTTGCTTGTAGAATACACTTCTACGTCTTACCAAGACTTCTTGATCAAGTTAACTGAGTTGAGGACAACGGACCAGAATAGCTTATCGAGTCTCTGAATCCTGATCCTTCGTTCTGTTCCGTTCCGAATAAGCCGAATCAGTAGTAGCATTCAAGCTTAACGAGCATAACATCTAATCTTCTTATAACTGTATTCTTAAACATGTCGAAACTCTTCAATTTCTTGTTATAACAAGGTTTCAGCAACATGCATTACAATCATGAAACTTCTGTGTCAATTGTTAGCTGACAAACACCTTGGATTATTCAGCTACAACGTAACAATATCATGAATCTTATGTATATGAAGTGTTTCCACACCGTTTAGGAACTTCATGAGGTTGAATTAATTTCTACTGATTCTGTTGCAGCGAATCAATTCATTTCTAGATTCACCATGAATGTACATTGACGATTTAACATCGTTTCACAATGTTATGCGTCGATATAATGCACTGTTTATCATAGATATGTGTATTTCTCTCAGTTTTAGAGTTCGTACGTCACAGGATCGATGTTAATCAGTGCACTACTGATCCCATGATTTCACTGGATTTTTATTTGAATAAATGAGAATGTAGTCAACTCTCATCGGTTTAAATCTCAGACGCAGTTCACATCACGACGAACACGTATTCCAAGTCCATACTACACCATTTCTTATTAGTGATGGTTTAGCAAACGCTTACTTACCACACTCAAGTGTTTTAAGCACTTGAAGAGTGCATTGTGTTCACGACCATCTGTCAGAGGTGTAACATTTGATATGAGTTCATGCATTGAACTTGAAATACCATTTCATCATGTTAACGCTGATTGGTTCAGTCATGGTTACTGGTGCAACACACTCTTATCAAGCTAATCAATTTCTATTTAACACTGATTAAATGTATTTACCATTGTAAAACTCTTGACACAACTTGTTTTAAGAAAAACTCGACTAAGTGAGAATTGTCATTGTTTTCGGAAACATTTTGAAATTTGGTGAAACAATAGACTGTGAGACTGCAAATGTGATGTATGCATCATTAGACATGAACGTAGAAGTTTGTCCAGAAGCATTTGGTTGTATCAATAATACTCAGTAATATTCAGCATTATTGTTCACACAGATTTCCATGGGTTATAGATTAACCTAGAAAAATAATTTTCAATCTAAAGCAGATAAGTTTACCGTGAAATGTAAATCATTCATCATATTTGGCTTGTGAGGTGGTTGGAGATAGTAATAGGAAACTGTACGCCTACATATTCTGTTTGTCGACACTCGTTGATAAAATATATGGGGAATTATAAAGAAATTATTGTTACCTGTAACATCTGATTCTACTTCACTAAACATGATTGACCTGGTATCTACTGGTTGCTTGTAGAATACACTTCTACGTCTTACCAAGACTTCTTGATCAAGTTAACTGAGTCGGAGACAACGGACCAGAATAGACTATCGAGTCTTTGAATCCTGATCCTTCGTTCTGTTCCGTTCCGAATAAGCCGAATCGGTAGTAGCATTCAAGCTTAACGAACCTAACAACATCATTTTAATACATGAAATGATGATCATTAAAAAAATAGTTACTTAATTTCCAATGAAATCAAACAGATTTTTATTGTGTTAAAACGTTTTTCGTTCACAAAGTGAGATAATTTGTTTCATAATAAATCATTTTTAAAAAAAATAATCACTAAGATAATGTTCAATTGTTCACAATAAAAAATAAAAATCACAATGTTTAATTATAATAATAATAATAATAGTAACTCCGCCTGGAACCCAGCTAGGGCTATTGCCTGTCCCAAACTTGGATAAAGTAGGAGGGTTCGCAACCCCATACCGTAGAAAACTAACTCGCCAATAAACGCCAACCAAAAAAAAATAAGTAGTAGTAGTGATAATAGTGGTAATAGTATGGAATTTTCTTTCGTTTTATTAATAATAAGAGTGAAAAAATAAAGAAAGAAAGCAAGAAAGTAATAATCTTTGAAAATCATTCACAATAAAAAAAAACTGTATAGAGAATAAAAGTTGAGACAAATAAAGAAATATCAGTCAAATAATAAATGATCACTTCAAATGATATATTGTTCTAAATTTTGTGTTTTATTGATTAATCTAATATTGTTAAATATAATTGAATTGTGGTTGAGTTTCTTATGCCATTTACTTTTTTTTTTTTTTTTTTTTTTTTCTTCTTCTTCTTATTCACTAACAAGTTTTAATAATATACGTCGATAATCTCCACTGGTATCATCCTGAAATTAAAATATACACAAGAAAATATTGTTTCAATGGTGGTCTAGCTTCAACTGACTCATGATTTCAACCTGTGAAATTTCTAAAACTCTCCGCAAACCCATTCTGATAATATCATCTGCTCATTAGTGACTGACTTCAAGAGATACTCCTGGAGTTCTAGTGGTAAGCCGTTACCATTGGAGTTCAACCAGGTCTGTCGTGAGATATCAGCTCACTGAAGACAATGGTATACGGTGGTGCAACGTCGTGGATTGGTTGAGGTTAGACATTAACACCGTTGGATGACGGCTCAGTGGTCTAGTGGTTAAGTGCTCGCGCGCGAAATCAGTTGGTCCTGGGTTCGAGTCCCGCGGGGTGTGGGTCGTGGAAACGCACTGCTAAGGAGTCCCATACTAGGACGAAACGGCCGTCCAGTGCTTCCAGGTTTTCAGTGGTGGTCTAGCTTCAATCTGTGATATTTTGGATCTGATTTACTATGTATACAGCATTTAAAGTGAGCTGTTAAAATGTTCAATTATAATTTAAACAAAGGTCAACTGTACAAGGATTTGAAAAGCCAATTATTTTTAATCAGTTCGATATTGGCGACCTGTATATTTTGCAGAAATTAAACAATGTTCTTGTAGTGTTGATTACTATTGCTAAGCTCACGTAGCTTATTCTAGCTTCCGGACAGGCCAGTTCATTTTTTTATTCTTGAGTCACATTTCGATCATGTCAGTTATTTGCTTATCAACCTTGACTGTTTTTATATGAGCGTTTGTGTGCATTTGTTATCCCATTCATCACATATTTGTAACTTATTTTTGTTCAGCTATAAATATCGATTAACGTTTGATTAAATCGAGTTGGCTCACACACACCTTTTCCACTGCGCATCATTTTGATTCGCTCTCTTCTCTTCGCTTCTCCAATCTATTGTCTGAATCAACGAATGTATGAAATATACGAATTTGAAATTCATTCTCGTATTTGACTCATTTAATTCCGTTGTTCACTAACAAGATTATATACGAGGATAGGCGACGTGTATATTTCAATAACAAGAAGCATACGATCATATTGGAGTCAGATTTAGGGTCATTAAATTCTCATATATCTAATTGGTAATACATAATGAGTTATTTTTGTTATATCTTTCGTTACAATATTATGTGTACACTTTTAATTTGGACATCAAGCAAAATCACTCCCTATACTCGGTACATGTAGACCTCTATAATTTTTTTTCTAGAAATACAAAGTATTTATGCGGTAAAAGCGCTGAGAATACATGGAGATGATAAAATGCAAACAGACCATAGGACTGTTGAATTACTTAACTCATTAAGACTTCCACATGGGATAAATTTACTGTTAAAAAAGGTGAGCACTTTAGTGGGAACAAGATTGATATTTCCTAAATTATATAAAATGACGTTTTTATGGACTCAATTTATGTATTCGTTGGATTGATTACATATACCCATAGATAATAAAATAATATATATTTGCAAAAATTTATCAAAAGATAAACTTGTTAGATTTAACACATTGAAGTATTTCAACTAGGCAATATTTAATATAGACTATTCATTGGTGTTAATTAATTAAAGGCGATCAACATGATAAACCCTACTTAACTTAAGCTTAACTCTGTAATTCACACTTGTCAATAAGATGTATGACCAGTTATGAAGCATCATGTAATATCACGATCAAAAGTGTCATAAATGAGTCATTCAAGATATCATGTTACCGATTACCAGTACATGTTTACCGGTTATTGGTTGAGAGACAATCATAATCTACATAGATGGAGAGTGGCTGGTAGTGGAATCCAGGATGCACTTTTCGTCCTTTTTGGGACTCTTCAACTGTATGTATGTAACTCGGAATCCAGTACAGTTCGTTTCAGTCGCCATTGCGTTATCTACAATGCTGCTGTGCCCTGATGGCCACTTGCTTGTGCAATAAGGCAAAGTTTAAATTCATTAACTCTGAGATGCAAGTACATCCAACTGACGAGTCCCAAATAGGTCGGAACGCACGTCATAGATTCCATTGCTAGCCACTACCCATCTTTGCTTATAAAGCTTAAGGCAATATCGAGGCAGTCCACACAGGATGTACAGATACCAACAAGAGACTGATCAATTACAGTCCTAAATAACAATGGGAAGATTCAAGTAAACAATGCCTAGTGAATTTAATCATAATCTAAATTTGAATACTTTTGATGATATATATTAAAGTTGATGAAAGATACCCCTACGCTTTAATTTTTAGCCTAATATTAAGCATGTTATTATATTATCCTTATTTCTAGTTACCAATTAGTAATTTCACCAAAGTTGACATTATTATTATTTTTTACCTGCGTTTACTTTTTCCTCTTGTCACTATGCTGATAACATAGGAGATGAAAAAAAATCAAACTGCGAAGCATAATTTGTGTTACTTTATGCCAATAAATATTTTAAAATTATGTAGAATAATAATAATTAGAACACTTAACTAAGTAAACACTTCACATTGTGCGTAAATGTGCAGAGAGAGAGAGAGAGAGAAATAAGGTAGATCGTTTAAACCATGTGATTCATTCACGGGCCTGGTTACCATTACTAATTTCTTATTTTTGACATTTATTTTTTTTTAAAGTTCAGTGTTATTGATCCCGGATTACTTGATTAATTAATTAGTCAGATAAATAATTATTGAATTCATGAGTCAGTTGAAGGTAGACCACCATGGAAAACCTGGAATCACTGGACGGCCGTTTCGTCCTATTGTGGGGCTCTTGCGCACGAACGCTTAACCTCTAGACCACTGAGTCGGTATCAAACGGCATTAATGTCTAGCCTGAACCAATCCTCGAAATTGCGCAACCATCTTCTATTGTACTCAGGTAGATACCTGTCTTTACCCGACACAGATTAGCTCCACTGGCAACGGCTTCTCACTAGAACTCCGATAATTCACTCATGAAGCTAACCACTAGTAAGCATATGGTTAGTTTTCTCAACTAACATATTCATAAGTAATCTATTAATAATCGACTGGATGATAATTTTTATAATTGTTTTAAGATTTTTTGTAGTTTTGCATAACTAATTGAACTTAGTTCGACAATCATTAGAAACCAGGAAGCACTGGATAGCTATTTCATCCTAGCATGAGACGTTACAACAATAATCACGTCTGACCGAATCAAGGGTCGGATTCAGGTCATTCATTCTTGAGGTAAGTACTAAACCTTCATACCTCAGAACTGGCATTCAATCAATTCATGATACTGTGAAATGCAATTTATGGATAAATCACTTATACCCAAAATGTTTTATTATTGTTTATTGTTTAATAGTTTACATTTAAGTTAACCGTAGCCTTTATTAAGATTTTCCTGTAAATGCAACATAAAATGCGTTGAATGGTTTTGTTTCTACTTATAATTATCATCGTTTCTAATTTTTAAAAAAGCTGGAAAAGAACCAATAATTAAACAGATTCATAATATTTTGCTACGATTGCTATTCTTCAGTGACAAACTATCCTCACTGGAATGAATCATAATCCAAGAAATATTTATTCAATTCATATTAATGTTTCTTAAATACCTAATATCTTGATGGAGTTTTGTCCTCTCAGCTGGATGGCTTAGTCGTGGAGCTTTCGTCGTTCTTCTGAATGACATCATCAGAACGGACTTCAGGTAGAAGTGAAATGTTCGAATTTATCCACATTTAGCTGACAGCTTTTCCTGTAGACCTCGCTGTTGAATGGTTCTTGTTGGTATTTAACCTCTCATAGTTTACTTCTATGTTTTGGTTGTATCTCACAATGGTTTGAATCTTGGTCCTATATTTGTCCATGAGTTTTCTAACTGGTTGATAAATTACATCCATTTCAATCTGTTTGTCGGTTGTTGGTTGATGTGAGTGCCAAGTGTGTAAGAATTCTCTGGTATTTTCAGAATTGCCTCTATCAACGACTTCCAAATTTTTCCGATCTAATATGTGTAAACTGTTTTACACGTGAATTGATATAAGTGAGGATATGTGATGGAGTTTGACCACTAATTGATGTTCATGTAGGCGAAATGAAGAGGGAATCCGCTTTGTCCGATGTAGTGTTTCTCGCAGTTGGCACAATTTATTTTGTAGATTATGTTCGGTTTTTGTTATTTTATCATTTCATCTTTTGGTTTGCATAGAATAGATTGTAGCGATTTTGTTGGTTTGTGTGCAACACCTATTCCGAAAGGTTTCAACAATCTCGTTGTAGTTTCGGATATGCCTTTTATGTATGGTAGAATGATCCGTTTTTTAGTTGCAGAAGAAAGATGAGAGCTCCACGACCAAACCATCAAGCTCAGAGAACAAAACTCCATCAAAATCATCCACCTGAGTTACAAATCTTCTCCACCATATAAAATCTTATAGAAGAAAAGGAATTTCCAACAAGTTATTTAATAAGTATTCATAAGTATAAATGATCATGTTTTATATAGTTGATTATTCAAACTTACAGCTATCCATGACTCAAGACTTTTTCCTGTTAAACTAATAAATTCTTTTTTAATACGACCCATATCAATACCAGAACGTCCAACAACTATACGTATCAATGTTGAATCAGCTGTCCCAGCACCTTTCATGGAAGCTTTTAATCTTTCAGCAAAATATTTCTGTTTATTTATAACACATTTCACTGCAATAAGAATTAAAAGAAATCAGTTTAAATTCATTTTGAAACAATTAATTATGAACACAAGTTACTCAATGAAGACAGACTCTGTGTTTCAAGTTATCTACAAAGTAAGTAGAAGTCTTCCAACGACAATTATATCGCATCTTCTTAGCAATAGCCATACATCTGGTAAAACTATAATTGTTTGTCCAAAAGAGATTGGTAAAGGGTCTTCTTCTATTATATTCTTAGTGTCTTATATTTTTTTTCTTTCTTTATAGTCATCTGCTTTCCCATCCATCTCCCTAAACCTTCTACTCCTAACTGCTTTATTTCTGTTTCTATGGTCTTCCTGATTACATTTAATCTCAATTTCTCACTTTATATTATTATACTGAGCCATACTTTTCCAATGTTAATTTAACTATCTATCTTTTGATGAATATTTGAGCCAGTACCAATCAAACGATTGCTAAGTTCACTTGTTGTTTACTTGTATCTTTACATTGTGATTTAGGACTGTAATTGATCAGTCTCTTGTTGGCATATGGGCATCCTGTGAGGACTACCTCAATACTGCCTTGAGTCACAAGCGTTATAAGCAAAGATGGATAGTGGCTAGCAGTGGAATCAAGAACGCGCATTTCGTTCTGTTTGGGACTTGTCAGATGGATGATGATGTTCACTCTGGGACTCGAACCCAGTGCCGTCTCAAATAGTACGAAACGCGCGTTCTGGATTCCACTGCTAGCCGCTATCCATCTTTGCCTTCAAACGATTATAAGTTTCCCTGTTTAAAAAATTTTTAATACCTTTGTTTATTCTAGCTCACTGTCACCATGTTTAACAGAAGTTTATTATCATCATTATTGTAATTATTATCATCCTGAAAATTAAGTTTATACACATGCAATTATACAGCTTTGAGAGTGAATTCGCCGAAAACAGAACTATTCGCTCAAACAATCTCTCTTATTTAATGTCTTAATGGATGTATTCCGTTTAGTAATTAGTTTTCCATTTACATTAATGTTTTTTGGTAAAATATTGACTAATATCCAAAATGTTAAGTCCACTGAACAATCAAACACTTTAGGATGTCGTTGTATCCCGACAAGATAAAATAAATAAAATATTCTGTTCATATATTTCGGCTATAATCAAAATTAACATTTAAGGCTTCGGTCGATGAGTTAGAAATTGTTCTACTCAAAACTAATTGGTGAGACTATAATTTATAGACGACCTTTGAGCAATGCTAAAATGACCTTAAAAATGTCCATCTACTTACTAGGGTTAAATGAGGGTTATAAATTAGTGCGACCAACTAGGATTAAGATTTGCAGTTGGACGTTAGGGTTAGAAATTATATTCGATGTTTCCATCACGAACTGACATCAACTATAATCCCGAAATGGTATTTAGCCAAATGAGTGGATGAATCTCGCACCAAAATCTAAGATTTGTCCATAAATCATAGTCTCGACATTACGGATTGAATTCGGTTAGATGACTAAGTTTCACTGGATAACCTTTTCATAAATCTAATGTTTATTTAAACAGATTTCACATAGTCGATAATAGATATCAGTACATAAGTAAAAAATTAGATCAAAACCGAAGAATAAATGACAAAGGTTATGTATGAACAGGTCCGAAGTGAAACTTACCAACAGTAAGCATAGCTCGAAGTAAATCTCCACTCATTTCCGATTTTAAAGCGCTTTCAATATCTCTTCTACCAAGTGTTGAATAGTGCTGAAAAACTGAACGTAAGTGAGCATAAGATCGATGACAGATGATTTGGATAAATCTGTAGAGATAAGAAATATTCAATTAGATCTTGTAGAAAATCAGTATATACGTTTATTAGTCAATAAGTCTGAAATCAAATCAAACGGTAATTCTACCATTTTTATAATTATTCAATCGAATAGTGAATGGTTATGGCAGTTGTAATGAAAACAGTTGGAATTCAAGCAATTAACACGTAAATACAAATTGTCTGACATTCAAGTTTATCTACTATTATATTCGATTGTCCTTATTCACATTTAGAATCCTGCTATTACCCAACAGATTTCGGTTTTCTATAAACAAGTAGGTGGCTGTCATGACTTAGTAGGTAAGTGCAGAACGCAGTGGCGTTTGAAGCGAACGGTACAGGTTTCGAGTCCCGGAATGAACATCAACTCTGAAATGCAGGTATGTCCGGCTGACGAGTCCAAAATATGACGTAACGCGCATCCTTGATTCCACTGCTCGCCACTATCCATCTTCTCATTATTTCATACTTAGTTCAGTATTTCAAAGTTTTAATAAAGTATCTACTTCATTGTTTTATCCTATTGGAAAAGAGAATCGAATGAATATATAGAATCAATACCGTTGTGGTGTGTGTTACTAATGTCGACAGATATAAGCAGTATGTGTCGTCAATCGAGAGTGGAATAGCTGGCGGCGGGAGGTTGTGAAAATCAAAGAGAGGAAAATTAAAACAGAGAATGATTGATATGGAAACGAAGGAACAATAAAGTCTGAGACAATTGATGGATATTTTGCAAATTAAGTATTTACTGCATTGTTCTCAGATTTTACCAAAAAGTTGTATTTAATACATTTGGTTGTCACCCAATTGTGTTCACATTCACTACACCGAAGGTCTTCATAGAAAATATGTCCACCGAATCATATACACTAGTGATATCTAAACACAGGTTCTTCTGAACGAGTTATTGACATCTTTACTGAGCTACTTTCAGACTTTGTTTAAAAGTCATCAGCTATACTCGTACGACAGAAAAAATTGTTATCAGTGGATTCTGAAAATTGTCCCATTTTATATCGATTCAACGTTATCGTACAGTTTGTTGATTATTTTAATCAAAAAATGGATATTCGTTGGAGAACTAGTGTAAGCTAAAACGAGTTCAGGAAAACAGCTTCAATCCGTTTTAGGAAATCCTGACGGTACTCATTCACAACTCACTTTCAGACCAGGAAAAAAATGAATATCAACCGAGTGTAATTCTAATGTCTATGTGTACAGACCTTGAACAGAATAACTAAGGATATATATATATATATATATATATATATATATATATATATATATATACACTAGTGCATTATCTTGTCAAATACACAACCCTTTTTTCATTGTGTATCTGTCTATCTAAAAATATCTGAGTGATTTACATCGATTATTGGTTCGGATGCATTCAGAGTGGGTGTCATCGGTTCCACTGCTACACAATATCCATCTTTGCTTATTATTCTCATTATTTTCATAAATTTCCAACAAGAAATTTAATTTTTGTAACATGTCGATTACATTGAAAATTAAACTGTGACTGACAAACCAAAACGACAATTATGAATACACTTTGTATTCATAATTCAATATATCTATAACAAAAAAATATTGACATGTTAAAAAGAAATATCAGTATGGGGTTGTGGAGTTAATTAAATTTTTGATTGAGATGATGAACCGGTTGATGTTAGACCACCGTTGAAAACCTGGAAGCACTGGACGGCTGTTTCGTCCTACTGTATGACTCCTCAGCATTGAGAATCTACGATAGTTAACAATTTGACTTTCAATAATAAGAATAATACATTAAAAGTGATGAATAATGAGTAACTCTAATATCTAAAGTCAGGTAGAACTTCAGTAAGATAATGTCTCTGATAGCCAGTACGTTTTCAGAAAGAATATTTAATATTATGTTACAATGTTAACGATGATTCAATAAAAGCAAGAAAAAAAAGATATTCAGAGTTCAAGAATTGGGTATCAATATCCATGACATATATTGACATAAATATCGTATGTGAGCAGGTGAAGCACTTAAAAATATGAAGTGACCTATTACATATATGACGTGAAAGAGTATGCCTATACGCACTAGTCAGTCATGATCAATATGACTAAGAATTTCATGTTAGCATAGAGAGTTTGTAGAAAGTTTTCAACTTGAGAATATTTTAAATCATGGATCGAATTTTGTTAGACACCAGGATGTAATCGATATCTGCTTAATCCGGTTATGATACTCCTTATCATTACGGACCCAATGACTACATCAGCGATTAAACAGAAGATCTTCAGGTTACGTGATGAATACATTAGCTTAGACTAATAAGTTAACGTAGTTCAAAATCCTAACTCTAGTGATACGATGAGATTTCATTAATATCACTCATCCACTTGGAGTCAGTTCATAATGTCAACTACAAAGGTTCAATAATCGAAAGTAATAATAAATGAATCTGCAAAAGAATAAAAATTTCCTTTAGAAAGACAATAAGATCTTTTTTTCATACGAATAATGTAAGTGATTATAGTGTAAAGTTATTTTAAAACAGTAATATTTATGTAAGGGGAATATTTCATATAAATTACTGGACAAATTATTAACTTACTTTGATTCATCTGTTCCCCATCTTTGCTCTCCAGCTTTATATAATTCTTCTGCATCTCTACGTGCTCGACACTCATCAACATTTTGACTTTCATCTCTATCCCCTTGTACTAATGCTACTAAGATACGTTTGAAATATCCAGATGTTTCATCTTTTAAATCTTTCTCGAGGGAACGACCTTTGTAAACTATTTAGAATAAAAGATTATAATATTGATTGAAATCGTCTATATTGGAAGTTCATATTTAAGGTTATTAGTCCATGAAGTAAAGATTATTCCACTTGAAATTTTGTCTCATTTTTGCATGTAATCAGAATTAGTTTATTCAACGATTTATTGTTCTACTTCATTGATGCGTATAAAATACTCAATCATTCCCCTATTGTATTTTCTTAAATTAGTTACAAATGTAGATAATGAGTACTATTTCTGCTAAATGATAACTCTTTAGTTGTTTATATAGTAAGTAGGTGTACGAAGTTTGATATAAATAGATATAAATAAATAAGTCGAATATAGCTATATCATTCATTAGTTTGGCTTATTGTGCTAAACAGTCTTCAGATACCGATATGTACACTTTCCGTACGCCATTCTAACTCACTACTAGAATGAAGGGAAAGGAAGTGAAAAAAACCCAAATCGAAATATATACACAAATTCATTCATGAATTTTATTGGGTCCATTTATTAAACATAACATTAGATCAACCAGAAAAATGTATTCAAGGCCAAGAGATAATTGTGATATGCTGATGAGAGGACATTATAGGTTGAAATTTAAGTCAGTTAATCTAGGGACATGGCTAAATTTAAGGTCATATTAATTATGTAAAATCCTCTATTCTGTTACAAACAAACTGGAATCTCATAGTTGGAATGAATTTTATTTTTTCATTCGATCCATAGAAAGACGATTCGGAAACTAAACATTGTAATCTAATAATATAACAAGCTAACTTGTGCAGAAGACACTTTTTCCAAACATGTTAGTTTAATATGTGGGGCTTGTATTTAAATACACAAAATCTTTAATATTTATGAGTTTAATGCAACTCATCATATTTTAGAAGACTCTACAAGTATATTGGGATGAAATAAGCATGAAAGCTAGCTTCGAGATTTCAGTTTTATGCCATGACCAAGGCCTTTCTATTTTATAATGAAAACAATCAACTGTTTGAAGATTAATTTTGCTGAGAGTTCTACTAGAGGGCGTGATATATGGAATCTCTTAAGTTCACAGTAACTCAGTTATTGCTTATAATATGACATTATAATGCTCCTGTCATATTATAAATGAATGTTTAAGATTCTAAACCTTTCGATTATAATTATGTTGATATTTCAATTACTGAATGCTGAGAATTCCCAAACTATCATGGAAAAATCTATCCAATCCGTTCCGATTGTTAAAGGTTATTCTGATATCATCAGAAAATAAATAAAGGTTCCCACCGCCTCTCAGTAAATTTTTCATCATGGCTCTACACTAATATATATAAATATTATATATATATATATATATATTCCATATTATTTTAAAAGAAGGGAATTTACTTACGTCTTGTATAAGCTTCACGTATCTCCTTATCTGTTCATTCGTTCGAGTGCATAAAATTTCAATCAAAACTTCTTCATTTGTACCAGTACCACGCATTGCTTTACGTAGTTCTATTGCATCTAATTCCGATGGAGATCGACATAATGCTAGCATACATTCATAAAAGTGTCCACTTAATTCAGATTCAAACTTAGAAGTTAATTCTTTTCCAAACATTGCCTTATATTTTTTTGTTATTATAACACGTTGGTTAGGACTTCTACGACCCATTACTTCTATTAATTCTTTTTCATTTGTTCCTAAACCAGCCATTGCTTTTCGTAAACGTTCACAATCTTCTTCTGGATTAAATTTGCTGCATCTTTGACTGTTGGTTCAAACTAAATAGATAATGAAAATAGGCTGATTTAAATAAATACATTTATAAAATAGTCAAGCAATGCTATCTGAATGAATACAATCACCATTTTTATCTTGTCATGATTTTGAACATATCACCATCTTTCTCATAGTCACCGTAAGACCTAAAAATCGAGCAACATAACTATATGTATAATTGAAGGTGATACCCAGTGCTTCCTCATTTTCAGTGATTTTCAACGGACGTTTTATCGTAAGGTGGTGGTTGGGGTAGTCAACTGGAAACCCTGGACCTAGGTTTCGTGCTACTTGACATTCGTCGGTTAAGTGTACCTGTAATCTTGAAGGAACTGATGCTCCCTGACGGATTTGATCCCGTATCACCCAGCTTCACAGTCAGAGACGTTTAATCGTAATAACAATTACATTCAAAATACTACTTTATTGAAAATACTTGATCATAATTAGATATATTTTTTAAAAGCAAATACCTAATAGCTATTCAACACGTAAGCTTTGTAGGTTTTGAGAATTATCTTAAACAATATGATCAGCTTCTAAACAATCACCAGTAAATATACGTGAAAACAGTGTCTACAAAAAACAATCATGTGACAGAGACAGATCTCAGTCCTTCCATCGATACCGAATGAAATGTGTTACTGAAGTTATTAATTATCTCATTTATACATATTGACTTTATATTGCTAATATGTATCTTTGATCACCATTTGTATAAGAATTAGTGATCAATAATATTAAAATCAAGGCTTTATCTGATAGTTTCTTAAACAACCACTAACGTCTCCGATATTGTAGTTTGACCTTAGCGCTATGAGTCAGTAAATTATTTTTAAAAGCATGTAGCTACCCAACAAATAGCAGTGAGTATTCAATACAACAGGATTGTATAAATGAAGCCGAATAATACTGTATTTATTAAGCCTTCATTTACTTAACCATTTACATGATCTGTTAAATGAGTAGGCCAATAAGATCATTAACTATTGACTATCTGGAGTTTCTGACCTGTAAGTCGATTACCATGCTGAACCATCCTCACCAATCACCAGAACTAAACCTGTGGTTTCAGAATTCTCCGTAGTGCAAAACGGCTATGAAGTAGTGATCAAATGTAGCAGCCTGAATTTTAAAAAATTCCAAGAATGTGATGTATGATGGAAAACAAAGATGGTACAAGCATACTGTCATACATGAAGAATATTTTGAAAAGGGTGAGATGGATGTTTCCTAACTTTTCATAAAATAAAGTTTACATGACTTTAATTGGCATATTTACTGAGAAAACTTTGTTTGTATTTGGGTTTCATTATAAATTCACAATAGCTGGAAAAGTTGAAAAATCTTGGAAACATCTTTTGTTTTGTTCGATAACTTCTTCTCTAATTAATATGAAACCAACAAATTACCCTTTTTTTAAATCACATTTTCCAATAGGTTATTGAATAGAAACCTCTTAGTTTATTGTTTATACAATGTATATAGTAACAAAATCATTATGCAGATAGGAATTAAAGATTCCCCTTATTTTCATTCACAATTTACCGTGAGGTTGAATGATCGTAAAAATGAATCAAACTATAAAAAATCTCTGATTGATGAATCTCCTCATTAGATTGCTCATCTTATACACAACCAATGTTCCCTAGAAAAAAAAACTGATAGAGTATTGCATTATCTATCCATGTTTACGGACTTCGATTGTAAAACATTAATTATAAGATATGTGAGAAATATTTATGAGGATATGGGTAATGGAAAAGCATTTGCATCCAGTATTATAGCATCAGAGGTATAACTGATGATGACAGTTAATATCTAGTATTAAGCCTCTTGATATTTCTTAGGTCAACAAAATGTTATTATTATTATTATTATCAGCTTTATTCAATATTGTGTTTTTGGTACAATATAGAATTCTCAGCGTAAAGTATTTCAACAAGTTTCCGTTGCTTTCTTTTTGGTCGGTCCTGGCGATAAACATTGAGTGATCGCCAGTTAGATGTTAGCAGTTCAGTAAATGAACATCTGAATAATGTACATTCTTTTCGTTGTATATTGCCAGCAACCACATTGTCCCTTATTCAGTTTTTTGTAACTTTGACAACCAAAGGTTGTACAATTTTCAGAAACGCAGCAGAATAGGTTATGCGAATAATAAACATAATGATATATTAAAACAAACAAAAATAGATAACTTGTTGAAATATCTAGATGGCAGGAACAGGTAGCCCAGATGCTCAATCTTGCCGCCCTCAGGTCAACAAAATGTTAATTGGGAAGCGAGTGTTAAGTATTGAATTTCACACTAATTTCTAAAGGTAATTACCTTTAGTATCCATTATATCACTAATATTTCATCCTTGAATTTAATGTAAATTATATGGTAGATAAAAGTGCAGATATTCGAAGTTTCGCCACATTTGTATGCTACGACTACTAATAATATGTATCGTGATGAAACTGATGTAGGTTTAGTAGAGCTGAAATACGTAATCTGGAGTTGAAAGTCGAACTATTTCTATTTTAGCTAATAGGTGGCTGGCTTTGCACCACTAGGAAAACCAGTGAAAATCAAGAAACACTAAACGGATATTTCGTTCTAGCATGGAAATCCTTAGCATTTCTCATCCAAAATTCCACAGGGCATTATACTCAGGACCTTCAGAATTCTGAACCAGCACTTAACTCTTAGTCATGGGTACTGATTGTTAGGAAGTCTCACACTAAGGTAAAACAGAAATCAAAAATACTTCTTGATTTTCAATAGTTATCTAATCAAATTCAGTTTACCTCTAAAATGCTTGATAATATTCACAATCCCCATCTACCCCTTATGGAAATATGATCATCAGATTTTACCTTAACCTCAATAGACTTTCTCTCTATGTGCAAATGCTTGGCCATTGATTTACATTTTTTCTTCCTATATTACTTACTGACATATTATCGGTCGACATTATTTACATTTACTTCTGAATAATACTTTATTACTATTACTGTGGCGTGTGCTACTTATATTGACATAAGTAGTATATGATGTTATTCGTAAACAGAAGGTCTGGTAGCAGAGAGACAAAAGGATCGGACAGTAAAGAATAGGAACATAATGCAATTCGTATGAAACTACAAGAACAATGAAGTCTGAGTCATTTTGAGACAATTGATGGACATATTGCAAATTAAGCATTTACTTTATGGTTGTCAGATTTTACTAACAAGTCCTGTAATTTTGTGTCAATTACATCCGAATGTCCCCCACTGGTGTTCTCGTTCACTGCATTAGCATTAAATTTATATCATTACTATGAGATAACGGACCCATTCATTTAAAAAAAGTTGTTTATAAAATCCTCCTGACAATCCCATTTTACACAAACGAAATCTTCAGAAATGAAACTTTCATTCAATGATTTAGTTGTGTTTTGATAAAAAAACTTTTTTTATTTATGTACTTTTCATTTTATTTTTGGGTAGGGCGTTTTTTAAAACGACCTTATATCAGCTGTCATTAGAAATGTAAACTACTGTATTTTAATTCAATAGTCTATTATTATATTACTTAGTAGATTATGAACTCACTCCTACACAGGGTTGTGAATGTTCACTAGTGATGGGAGATAAGTTAGGATCTGTAAATTATCGATTTACTTTAAAAAAAAAAGAGGAATTTCAAGATCTTTCAAGGCATATAAATAAGCCTATTAAAAAAGAGTGATAATTAAAAGCTTTCCATCTACTTGCCTCAACATCATTAAGATTTAAATAGATTTCAACCGCTTAAGATTATTCGATTATAGTAACAGACAAAGAAATAACATAGCCTTTCTTCCAAGTTCTACTAACTAAACTAAACTAAATTATTTCAAATACACAATCTTGAATTAGTCCTTATATACTGCTGAATGATTAAGGATAAACAATAATCTTTTCCTGTTTTAAGTAATCTAGTCCATTTAGTGTAATCTACAGATTGAAGTTAACTCCATATCTAATAATAAACGTCATGTTGTTCAATAATGCAATTACTAAACAAATGAATTACAAGTTAGTTGAATACAGTCGTTGACGAACTTCATAAGTTTCACATATAAGCTTCTAGGTAAAACCAATTTGTTAAGCTAGAGCATACCTTATCAATATTTAAGAATTAATGAAAACTACTACTGAATTTTAAAAAAAAGATAAATAACGCCAAATGAAGTGCATACATGTTGATAGACGTATATGACTTACAATCTCATTATTAGAATTGGATTGGCAGATATTCTGATCAGTTCGTAAATTGCTACCATTATTATATTCATTAGTTTGTGTTCCAAAACGAGGGGCTCCTGGAACATAACCCGGTGACTGTGCAACAGGATATGGGTTATTTCTTGAAACATTTTCTCCTTGTGTTGAATATCTAAATCCAGTTGGATTGGAAGGTTGAAATCCTCCAGAAAATGAATTAGGATAGTATCCTGATGTATAATCTGCACCTCCCACCATAGGCTCTGGACCTCCGCCCGCGAATCCTATCCCTCCATCTATTGAACTTGTCCCCCTACTGAAAATCCTAGTCCACTTGTTGTTGGTAATCCCTGTCTCTTACCTGAGAACCCTGGTCCTCCAACCGGGTAACCTGATCCTCCAACCGGATAACCTGGTCCTCCATCTGGATATCTTGAATTTCTATTTGGATAATTTGAATTTTGATTAGGAATAGTATCTTGGGTTCCTGATAAATTCCATGCACTCAAATCAGGGTAATTAGGATTCATTTAAGTAACGGAAAAGAATGTAACAATCGCTTTGTGATTGTATCAATTAATTCATACATTGTTTTATCTAGATACATCATTTAAATATAAATTAGCTAATCATTCATTGGTTAATTTGATCTGAATGCGTGGGTGGATTTTGTGATGAGTAGATATGAAAAACTTACTATAAATATCTTATTTTTGCATTTCTTATTGGATAAATGAAATATTCAATTAACCTTGTGAAGTGAATTCTTTCAACAGTTTTGTCATTACTATTTCACTAATATTTTTTTGTGTGTATAATAAGTAGCATTTTAGTGAATGTCATAGTTACTAAAAATAACATGTTTATGAATAAAGAAATAAAGGATTTAGCAAGTTTCATCATGTCAATTTCATTGAACATAAAAAAAGTGGTAATTTACTAGAATGTTGATTCTTTTTTTTTGAAGTAGATAATCTGACTGAGAAGATTTAGATTTATCATTTACTTACTTACTTACACTTGTTACTCCTAATGGAGGATAGGCCACCGACCAGCATTCTCCAACCCACTCTGTCCTCCGCCTTCTTTTCTAGTTCCATCCAATTCTTGTTCATTATTCTCATGTTTATTTCCATTTCCCGGCGTAATGTGTTCTTTAGTCTTCCTCTTTTCCTTTAGCTTTCAGGATTCCATGTGAGGGCTTGTCTTATGACGCAGTTGGATGCTTTCTTCAATGTGTGTCCTATTCACTTCCTGATTTCTTCCTACACTGGGATCTGGTTTGTTCTCTCCCACAGTAGATTGTTGCTAATAGTGTCCGACCAACGGATCCGAAGTATTTTGCGTAGACAACTGTTAATAAACACCTGTATTTTTTGCATGATGGCTTTCGTAGTTCTCCAGGTTTCTGCCCCATACAGTAGGACTGCCTTGACATTTGTATTGAAAATCCTGACGTTGGTGTTGGTAGATTTATCATTTACTTCATCGAAAATGCTGTTGAAAAGCATACAGATTATTACGTAATTAACAGATACATCGATCCAATCTGTTAAATTATGTAGGAAATGTAAATAAAACACATAGCCAAAAGTAAACTTAAACGAACAAAATTATAATAGTGCAAATGTACATGAAGATAACAATAAATAAACAAATAAATAATTTATTTGAACACATAAATATTGGTACAAAGAGGCATCGAATACATATGCACCACACAAATCACTTGATTTGTGTGTCGGCTATGATATTACCCGGATGCTGAAATTGAAGCAGATGGTTTCCTTAGGGGGTCACATTCCGAGCCTTCGACTTAAAGGTTTGATTTGAAAGTCAGTGGAGCAACGTCAGGAGATGCAGTCCCATGATAGCCGGTCACCAACGATATCTTCACACGCCATATGTTTCCTCAGGATCTTGGAGACCATGTGCACCATTGGTTTGGAATCAGGGTTTTTCAATTCCCCTGGGTAGATCCTCTGTATCCACCAACCTGGTTAAAGTGCCGGATATTCGCTTTTCGTCCTCTCAATTTCATAAACACCCTAACCACGAGAAGGTAGTGAGTGGTTGTATGCATGTGGTCATGTGGGAGCGTTTGCAGAGTGAGGGCTGACTCTCCCTATTTTCGGCAGTACCAAAGCATTTGGGGGTAATAATAAATGCAGTATCATTTAACTCTACTGTCTTGTATTGAAACGAAAAATTCAATCCCCTTTTGTTTTTGATGCTTTCTAACTGATATCAGTCAATGACAGTTGTCTATGATGAAAATTCACTTCAAGTTTATCATTTCCTAGAAACTCTTTACACTAATAAAAAGAAAACAATCAATTTAATAAATTCATAAAAAATTCATTCTAAAATACTCAATAATCTTGATTCTTACTACGTGTATATGCAATATGTTACATAATTTTTGATAACTATTGAATCATATATGTAAGTTAGTCAAGAAATTTCTTTCGTTTTCTTAAAGATCCTTGAATAACTTCAATAACAGTAAACGATTCACGTTCTAGAATCAGAAATAATAAAAAAAACAAAGAACTAAAATCACGATTAAGAATTAAAAAAATAATTATTATTATCTCACAAAAAATGGTCAATATCTTATTGAAGTGTTATTTACTAAGGGTATAAAATGTTTTATTAAACTTTCACATTACTCTACTGAAAAAAAGTCTACTAACGGACAAAATTTCATTAACGGTTGGAATAATAATCTTAAAGTACTTTTTCAACAGTCAGAAAGCAGGTAATGTAAATAATTTACAATGTAAGCACGATATAAGTAGTATTATCCTTCAAGGGATTCAGAATTGAATGATGGAAAAATTCATTACTTCTAATTAGTCTTTTCGCCAGAGCACTCAAAGAAAAAAATGCCATTTTGCATTCGTTCACAACCATTTTATGTACCCAATCGGAGAAATGCATTTTTCTTAATATTTCAACGATTTCAGAATTTTCGAATTTATACGGCATGGTAAAAAGAAGTCAGGTCCGCTCAAAGCCGCCCGCTGTTTTGTTTAAACGACCTTGAATGGCCTGACATGAGACAGCCATTTCGTAATTCCATTGCTATGGGTTTGTTGGGTGTCCGTTGAGTTGCACGAATATTAGGTGTTCTCATATTTAAGTGGTCTCTTGCTGAAGCAAAACCACAAAGTGATTGTGAAGGATATTGGTTTAGCTCTCTCTCTCTGTCTTATAGTGCACACGTTGGATCAATTGTTACTTCGTAAATTTCCAATCTCCTTATTTTTGGGGAAATTTTGTCCCGTTTGGGTAAATTTTGAGGGAAATCGTTATAGAAAACGTTGAGGAAATGGCAAGAAAGCCCAGAAATTTCTCCAGGTCTGGGGAAAATCCCCAAAATGTTTAGGAAAATTTTGAGTTTTCCCCAAGATTTCCACTGAAACTTATTACACTTTAAGGTTTTTCCCCAAACTTTGGAGAAAACTACCATATTTCTATGACTTCGGAGAAAACCTCAACATTTGCCTAAAGTCTACCCAAGATATTGAGAATGGAATACCAACTGAGATACCAATTTCTTTACTGAACCTCACCGCTTTGTTTAAAATCTGATAAGTTCCAGGAAACGACTTAGCAAAAATAAGAATAATTTAACAGTTCTAGATACGCGAACGTTATGTGGATCTCTGTTTTACTCAACGATTAAGAGGAAATATCAAATAACCGGTAAGTCTTAAATGTTGGTAGTATTTCCTTCAGTTAGTAAATTGTTTTTGCGACGAATAACTGATTTTTAATAATTACACAGTGCTGTAGGTAGTACTTCATGTTCAAGAGATATTTTAGTTGACGTAAGCGAGACGTTTCAACGTATAATACTGAACAGGCGTTTCTGAAGCTGGACTTGTTATAACTTTGTGTTCGGCTTTTTATCACGTGATTTATCCACCAATCAAAATACGACTTATTCCATATTAGCACTATGCCAAACCAATGTCATTCGACCGGTATGAGCAGCCTAGCGTCCTTATCGATCCTATGTCCGCCTAGCCCGTCCACTTGAGTCCAGAACACAAATACCAGCTTCCACTATGCGAATCATATATTCCAAACATACTGGGTTTATATATCAACCAGGCAGACCACAACGTACTATAAAATAGAAAATAACATTTGTACAATATTTGGCCAAATGTGGCTGTGAACGTGGGAGGTAGTAGTCAATAAACTGAACATAGCTTAAGAACTGTAAATCGTACACTAATAATATATAGGTTAAAATGAAGCTTATAATAAGAGGAATATAAATATACATAGTCGAATTACTGAATGTTTATACCATAAGAATATATAGATGATATTATTCAATTAATATGTCTCAGTAGTTACTCGTGATTTAATCTTCGCTCGGATATAACAGGACTGAATTCCGTAGTGTGCTAAAAAATTTCAAATCGTAGGGTAGAGTAACTTTTTCCCCTCTCAAACTACACATACTCATTACATTCATGTCGAAAGTAGACTGCTTTTTGATCAATTCTACTTTGTAGATGTTCGTTATTTCAGTTGATAATACTGAATAATTTTGGGTGGGGGCGTCCTGTTCTGTTTGCCTGGAAGCGGAAAGAATTGCGAGTAGATGTAACCTGATTCGTGGATAAATTGGGATATACCGATGTCTTTGCCGTCATATGCTTCTGGTATACATAAGAAAACGAACTCTTACAGGTAAGCTCGATCAATTATGAAATATAGACCGTATAGTTTATCATGTTCTTAGACATCGCAGTAGATAGAAGATAGATAATACGCACATCTTCCTCAATAGCACAATAATTTCACTACCCAGACAAAGCAAACAGTATGTACAGACTCGACAAATCCAATTTTTACATAAGAATCATCAATAACTAGGTAAAGCTGCAGTTTCACTAACGCTTGTCTTTGTATAGTATTCTTTACGATAGAAAATATGGATCGGAATACAACAAAGTGTGGCGACGTGACAAGAACTGTTTACTATGGGAGGTTCTTTGTAGTAGTATTTTTAACTTAACTATATATCCAACTTGTAAAATGATTTTTCTGCATCAAATGTTGCTCTTCTTGTACCAGTAGTAATGATGCATCAATAAACTATTGCCCAATTTTTATTTTTGTCTTCATCGTAGTTTCATGGGGAGATATACCGATAATCTTAACGAATAACTGTTTGTGAAAATTAAAAACAACTAAGTGTTTGCATTATAAGTACCCGTTTCGTTACGAAAACTTGTAATACTGCATCAATTTAGAAGTCTCGCTAAAATGTTGCGTTGTATGTATAAGTTTCTCCATTATGACAGTATATTCGGATGGATATTTGTAGTTGTTTCCTAACCACACGGTCTTCGAAGCCAAGCATATAATGAGTGAAAAGATAAATATTCGATATGTAACACTTGGAGAAGGTTGGAAATGGTGGACGTGGAGACATTCATTTAATCAGATGGCATGGCTCAGCCCTACAGACGTGGTCGTTATGTGTAACTTATTACCATTTACA